ACATGACAAGTCAAACAAGCAGATAATCTGTTTGTATTATTATTATTTTTTTTTTTAAAAGCACACCTCCTCTGTTTTGGCTATCAAGCATGTAGGAGATTACAGTGCGGGGGAATTTGCATAAACATGCTTCTCGATTACCGCCCCCATTGTTCGTGATTAATGAGATTAAGCTTGCCTTTGCAGGAACATTCAAGGATGTAATAGCAACTAATTGCTTGTCTATTTTCCACGAATTAGAACTAGCTCTGTTTGATGTGTGTTTGGGTATAGGCTTACTAATTTGTCCTCCCATTGGAGAGAGTGAGGACATGATATGGAACGTGGAAAATGAAGATGTGGAGAGAATCTGGAAGAAACATGAGTGCAAGAGATGAGAGACAAAAACTGTTTCCGAAAGATTGAATTTCACAATGCACGCCGGTAATGAAGCTCAGACAAAAAGCGAATTGCTGAAAAAATGGGTTATAGGGTAAAATAAAATTCATTTAATAAGCCTTTGAAGAAAGAAGATGAAAGTTTATAATGGAACAAGGCCCAAAAAGGGGGTAAATAGAGAAAACAAAACATAGTTTGGTCACCATTACATAGGAAAAGAGAAAAACAGAAGCTTTAGAACAGATAAGATGAAAACATAATAGATGATGTCCACACCATGGAGAAAATACGAGGCTAAAGAATGAGGTAGGCAGAGAAATGTGCAGGACAAAAACAGAAGAGATTGAATCAGAGGCAGCCAGCTGTAAGCTCTGATATTGCTTTACCTCTAAATATATCATCTCTGAGATGGACTGGTAGGAGCAGCTGGCAGAGACGCAGAATAAAGGTTTTACATGTCCAAAATATTACACATGTATATACAAACTGAAGCATTTTCCTTCAGCTATAGTAATTTTCAACAGCAATGGTGACTCTTAGCATTAAAGATGTCTGCAGGGACTCCCAGCAGGGTCATACTGCTGCTGCTGCTGCTGCATGCAACGCAACAAAACCTAACAGCCTTCTAGCATCTAAAACCCATCTGCCCAGACACAACAGCAGGAGAAACCCACTTATGGTGGAGCTGATCTCCCCCACCTCTACTCTCTGGCCCCCCAGCTCTTCGAGCGACAGTGATGGAGTGACAGCATCTCCTCGGGGTGAAATTACAACCTCAGCAATCCTTATTTCTCATCTGCTTCTCCTTTTCTAAAAAGCCCCCCTTTAACCCCGCTGGTGGTAACAGTCTGTCTGCATCAAGGCACACACAGAGTCTCCTGCAAGTTGGAGAGATATCCCCTGCAGGGCTGATTCACTGTCAAAGAAAGGCAGAGTGGCAGAAACTTTTAGTATTATAACAGAATATTCTTACTGAAGCTGTGGGGTACTTACACCACCCGATCGAATCTTGTAAACATAGTTTTATTCCTAATACATTTTTATCTTTTTTGTGAAAAAAAAAAGGTACAGAGATTTCATAGTTTTTTTTTTTGTATGTATAAAAAAAACAACAGAAAATTTTGTATAGGTGTTTTTAATCCCCTCTAATCGAAATTTGAAAAATCCTTCTATGTCCACTCCTGTATCAGAAAGCCATTGTTAAAGAAAATCAGAAAGTCTTGTTTAAAATTTGCACCCAATACAAAATTATCATATTTGCTTACATGCAAAACATTAGATCACCCAGAACACATGACCTGTATAGTGAAACAGATTGAATATAATAAAAATACAAAAAAAGACAACCCTAGAAAAAAACCTGTTAACTAACAGCGCATTGCCCCTCAGACGCTGATCTACAGTGGGTGGGTTTAAAAAAGGCACACCTATATGATAAAAGGGTCGCAATGTAAATATGAATTGAATTTTTTTAGAAAGACTCTATGTTCCAAGATGCTTCCAAAATGTCTGACTTGGTTTTAGCCATTGTGCAAAGACAACAATGTCATCCAGCATGTGTAAAGTTTGTGGAAACGTAACACAAAATACTTGCAGGCGTTACTTCAACAAAATGTCATCTATGAAATAAAAGATGTAAGAATTCTTAATTATTAACCTAATTGTGTTTGTCTATCAGATAAAATCCCAATGAAATACATTGGCCTACGTAAAAGAAACAGGAAAGCTGATGCGGAGCAGCCATTATTTCAGGTAAACAAGAATTTAAGCAGGTACCACTGCTGAGCCTGTTTCTTTGGTGTCCATTAATAATTGAGAGGAGTCTTTATGAGGAAGGGATTGGGGCCCCTGTGGCTTTTACAGTTTTATTAGTTTAAAAAACTGAAGGACTTGTTTGAATGTTAAATCTGAAGTAAGCATCTTATGAGCAGATTTAATGAACACAGCATGTTGTATGACAGTGATGGAAACAGGTTTCCTTCTTCGTAAGAAGTATGAAATGGTCATTAATCCAGGCAATTTAATGCCAAATTTTACAATGGAACACAGATAGGCATTTATTACATTTAAATTTAATCAAATGTTTTACTATTTTAAACCCAGAGGTAATGATCTGGAGGTGTTAAAAGTTTATATGTTTTTTACAGCAACTAGAATATACACAGGGACCACTTCAATGTTAGAGGGCTTTAAATTTTCAAACAATGATTACTTTCAGTTTCCTGTGCAGTATGAATGGTATTGATCTGGAATTAGCAAAGTATAGCCAAAGTCCAATTCATTGTTTGAATAAAGCTGATTCTGGTTATTGTGTCATGGCTGTCAGAGTAGATTATGTAGAACACTCTTTGTTAAATTATGTGGTGTGTTTCATGCCGAGCTCAACGCCTTGTTTGTGACAGAGAAGGTTGTTATTTCACCATGCCTCCTAATTGAACAGTTGCAGACAGAATGTAAATTGCATTGCAAACAAATTCAGAACCCTTAAAACTTTTTCCATGTTTTGTCATGTCACAGCCACTCATTTCAGCTCATTTAACAGCAATGTACTGGGACAGAGCAATGCAAATTATATTAAAGTGAAGAAACATGTTTATCCTTTTTGTTTTTTGGTTGTTTGTTTTTTATTTCAAATAGAAATATGCAAAGTTTGGCACACATTTTTATTTGGTGTCCTTTACTTAAATACCTCTAAGTAAAACCAAATGAAATGATCCAATGCCCACTTCATATCAGCTTCATATTGTGGGATACCTTCCTGAGATCTGATCAGAGCTGATGAGGAAAACCTTTGGGAAGCTTCAAAAGGCTGAGGAAGAAAGTGAAGGTTATCGTTTCTGCAGGACTGCTGCTGCCCAAGAGCTAAAATGGAATAGCTCAAATAAAACCTCACCAGATGAGAAAGTAACAGTAAAGTCCAAATGCATGGCAAATCTATAACAGTTTTAAATAAAATAGCATCTGTTAAACCCTCATACAGTTTTTTTACCACATGCAATTATGCACTACTTTGTTCTCATTAGATCCACATAAAATACTAAACAGTTCAAAGTTTTAAA